AGAATAGAATAGAATAGAATAGAATAGAATAGAATAGAATAGAATAGCTTTATTGCCCAAGTGTGATTGGACATACAAGGAATTTGTCTTGGTGTAAATACTCTCAGTATACATAAAAGAAAAGATACATTCGTTAAGAATCAAGAATCATAACGTATACTTAGTGATAGTCATAGGGTGCAATCAGCAATCAAATCATACTAGGAAACAGTCAATATAAATCGTAAAGATACAAGCGACAAAGTTACAGTCCTACAATCACAGGTGGGAGGGGATGGGTGATAAGGAGTGATGAGAAGATTATAGTATAGTAGTGTTATATAGTTATAGTAGTGCAGACTTTGTAATAGTTGAACAGTGTTGAGAGAATTTGTAAGCTGAGGACTAACTGTATTTAAGCTGCTATCTAAGTGATGGCGAACCTTTTCAGCACTGAATGTGCCCAAACTAGAACACAGGTGCGGGGGCAAAGTGCGTGCGTGCCGGAGCGCTGGAAACTGAAGACCAGCTGGCCGGTGCACATATGTGTGCTGGAGAGCTGGACTTCACGTGCACTAGAGTGCCGGAAACCCAAAGACCAGCTGGTCAGTGCATATGCATGTGCCAGTCAGCTGGTCTTCACGCGTGCCAGAAACCTGAAGGCTAGCTGACCTGCATGCATGCCTACGGAGAGGGTTCTGCGTGCCACCTCTGCATGCCATAGGTTCGCCGTCATGGTGCTATCTGATTTCTGCAATGGCACTCAAGCTTTGAAGCAACCAAAAACAACATCTTCTTACTTTCCGATGAACTTGGAGAATCTCTTTAGCGACCGGTAAGAGGAAAATGGAGCCTCCGTCATGTTCCATGGAATAGAACTTTATATTCTGCAACGATACTGGGTCATCCAGCTTCAGTCTGAAGAAGGAATAAGATGGAAAAGGCAGCCATGAAGAACAATGGAACCTTATCATGCTTTAGAAGAAAAGCCAATTGAAATTGGTACATGGGATTTGGTTTAGTCCAGCTCCTTGGTAATACCATCTACTAGATGTTCTGAAACCTGTTGGGTCATCCTTTGAGAAGAAGGTAGTATAGCTTGAGGTGACCACATTTAGAATTAAAGTTTAGGCTGACCATGTGCATGGACAGTCCCATGATCCTCTAAGAAGAGAGTTCTGACCAAGGCTTCCGAGGCCATAATTAATCATACGCTTAGTCCAAACAACTCTCTTTTTATTTCAATGCTGGGAATTATGTTCATTCCCAGCCTGTAATGAGTCCCAAACAATCCCTCGAGATAAACACCCACCTTTTTCTCCTTTGAATTGCTGCCAGCTAGAGTGCCAAATTAACTGTTAAAAAAACCAACTGAAGTACAAAGTCCACACAGAACTTCAAGGTTTAATCTGAACAGAACGAACGACTTTGATTCCTGCAAAGGTTTCTCTACCTTTGCCTGTCCTTTATACCTTATGGGAGGGGCAATCACCTCCCAGCCTTACTCCTGAGTCGCCCCTTTTGTCTCAGCTGCTCTTGCCTTCTGGCAGCTCTGCACACATGTGCACTGGGAACAGGTTCCCCTTGCTCCTCTGCCTCGCTGCTGCCAGATTCTGGAGGCTACAGAGTCAGCACATAACTCCCAGATGGCCCTGGCCCCATCTCTGTGTTGGACGCAGGACCCTCGTCCGAGTCCTCCCCACACTCCCAGACTGGCCCATGTTCCTCCCCACTGACTCTGCTGCCATCTCCGCAGGCTGCCGGCGGACCACAACGAAGGGTAAAGATAAAGGTTCTCCTCGCACATCCGTGCTAGTCATTTCCGGCTCTAGGGGTCAGTGCTCATCTCCGTTACAAAGCCGAAGAGCCAGCACTGTCTGAAGAAGTCTCCGTGGTCATGTGGCCAGCATGACTAAAGACCGAGGGTGCACGGAGCGCTGTTACCTTCCCACCAAAGGGGCCCCTATTTTTCTACTTGCATTTTTACATGCTTTCGAACTGCTAGTTTGGTAGAAGCTGGGACAAGGAACGGGAGCTCACTCCATTACTGGGTGCTAGGGATTCGAACCACCAAACTACCGACCTTTCTGATCGACAAGCTCAGCGTCTTAGAAAAGCATATGATCATTCTTTAGACATGACGCTATGATAGTTAGTTGGAAGATTCCAGCCTTCATTGTTGGGCTTATTGAAAGCAAGAATGGAAGGAATGCTGCATGCAGCATGAAAGACCCAATGACTGCTAGAGATCAGAGGAAATATAAAAGGGCAACACTGCCAGAGGGTCGAATTCTGCCCTGGTATAAATAATCATAATGCAACAATACCTTTAACACTTCCACCTCTGCCTATCCCAGGCCCTTGGGAAGGACTTGATGGATGGATAAAAATGCCAAATCCAAGTTAAACCATCTGGAGGATTGTGTGATGAACCATAATAATAATAACTTTATATGTTGGCCAACTCCTAGCAACCCTGGGCAGTTTACAAATTGTTCAAACAGAGAGAGAAAGGGAGAGAGGGAAGGAGACACAGACACCGAGAAAGAGAGAGAAAGGGAGAGGGAGAAAGGGAAGGAGACACAGAGAAAGAGAAAGAGAAAGGGAGAGGGAGGGAGAGAGGAAGGGAGAGAGAGGCACAGAGAGAGAGAGAGAGAAAGGGAGAGGGAGGGACAGACAGACAGACACACACACGCACACAGAAAGAGAGAGAAAAGAGAGAGCGAAAGAGAGACAGAAACACACAGAGAGGGAGAGAGAAGGAGGGAGGGAGGGAGAGAATGAGAGAGAGAAAGAAGATGACAGAGCTATCAAACCCAGATGGGAGCAAAGAAAAAAAGGGCTTCTTCAATCTTACCAAAGACCTGGCTGAAGATTCTGATCCATTTTAAAATACATTCCAAACCATCCTCCCTCTCATTCAGAATACTGTCAATACTCTCCTATGGATCAGTACTGAAACTACAATTTCTAGTTAGATTGCCTCTCTTCTCCACGGAACCCCAATGCCACAGCAGGAGAATGGCGGGACTGCAAACTATATTGTGCTGCATTTGGCTCTTGCAGGGTGTGGAAGCCCAGGAGAAGTGGGTGCATGCAAGTCCACGCTTGCAAAAAAAATAAAAAAAATAAATCAAGTTTCATGTCTCCTGTGTAGCAAATCCTAGGCAAACTCCACCTATTTTGGACCAGCTCCCAGCTGTCATAGCTCAGTCCAGGGCTCAAGGGAACCAAATTGCCATCAGAAAACTTCATCATGGAATCTTGCAGAGATTAGAGATGGGGTTGATAGGAGTCTGTGTTAAAATACCCCCCTTATAACCCCATCGATTGCTACATTCTAACTAGGAAGATAGTTAACCATTAAAAGCAGCCACTTCCTTTCCCAAGGTTCTGCACAGCCTTTAAAACAAGCAGCTGCTTCAATAAGCCAACTTCTCAAAGCAGTATCTTTTAAACTCAGCAGAAGCTCGAAGCAGGACACAGCTGCTTTTATGAGCAACAGAGAGATGCTTATGAAAACCCTTCTTCCACATGTCTGGAGCAACCACGACTCCCACACCCTTGTCCGTTCAGGTATGACTACATCAAAATGTCTACTGCAGCAAACGTTCCTTGCTTCTGCCAACCATTTACACCCAATTTCCCAATGGTAGCATGTTGAGACTTCAATGCCTTCAGAGCAGGAAACTGTCAATTGCAGCATCCACAAATAGCGTCACATCAATCACAGCAATTCAAACAAGGACGGGAGCTTCTTACCTGTATAGGCAAAATTGAAGGGCATGCCCAGAGGCGCGTGATGCTTGGGAGCTACTACAGGGTGTGAAGGGTATAACAAGACACCGTTCTCTCCTAATAATTCCACCACCTCTGCCTGAAGGCTCTGTGCCATGCTGGCTAGCTTGGCATTTGCCTTGGAATTGTATTTCATCACCTTCTCTGTTATTCCTAAGGCTGGGGAAAAAAACAGGTTGGGACAGAAGTCCAATGCACAACAAAAAGAGATTCGTTCCACATGTTTAAATAGATTGTGCTACGCCATGCATTGTGGGTGTTAGATATGTGGCTTTCTTGATTTTGGGGGAGGTGCAGGTCCCCCTGGGAATTTCACCAGACCAGGGGTCTCCAACCTTGTCAACTTTAAAACTTGTGGACTTCCAACTCCTCCCCATAGCTGGCTGAGGAATTCCAGGAGCTGAAGTCCACAAGTCTTAAAAGTTCTTAATGTTAGAGACCCCTGCACTAGACAGATGAGTAGAGTCCCATGA